TGCCTGGATCCACTGCCCTTCACTTCTCTTTGACCAAACGTGTGATATGTGCCTCCCGTCTAACCCTCCCTGCCTACTCCGACTTGTCACAGACACACATCAAGTCACCAGCAGTAAATCTGTCTGCTGGCAAAAATACCCCCAAAACATACCCCTTAAGAGAAACGGCATTGCCTTCTAATAGTGATTCAGAACATCTAAAATATTCTTTGGTACTGAAATGAAAATTCAAAGTGAACGTTAGGCACTATAGACAGGTCAAATATTTTTTATTTTTAAAATCTTAAGATGTTCTAATTTGATTATCAGCACTTTAAAAGCAGGGTTTTTTAAATTTTTTATTTAATCGTAGTTCTTAAAACACAGTCCTTTAAAGGAAAATAGTTTTGTTTAATGAAAAATTTTGAGAGATAATTTGATAGATGACTTCAGCTTTTAGGTATTAACATTGATTTAACTGATATACAGTATCTAAATATTCTTTGAGAATAGGTACTAGTATTTCTGTTCATATTGTCTGTTATTATCCCCTTTAACCATACATATTTCACCCCAAGTATTCAATATGTTCTACCAATAATAATTAAATCATATAAGAGCTAGTTTATATAAGTTTTGAATCTCATGGCATAATCTTTGACAAAATTCAGTTGTATTACATAATTCCTTAATTTCTAAAATATTATAAAAGTTACTTATTGAAATATTTGGGCAGATAAACATAAACATCATTTTAAACTTTGTATAGCAAAGATCTTAATAAAAGAGACTTTTGTAACAGACCCTTTATTGAAATTTTCTAATAACCTTCTAAAATCAATATTGAATTCTTTTGTTTTTAGCTAATGTTTCAGATATTTTAAAAGAGCAGCATGAATTTTTTTTACTTTTATTTCATTTTAATAAATTACCTTCTAAGAAATTTAGGATCTCCTTTCCATTTTAATTTATGTGGCAAAATAGCCACACCTTTCCTGCTTAGTTTCTGGAAGGAAAGTAATTAAATTTAAAATAAGACATTGTCAATTTAAGGTCACAGATACAAATGATTAAATATAACCAGTATGTGGGAAAACTATGGAACTAGATGATATGTAGATTGAACTTTATAATGAAAAGTATAGTCCCCCATGACCATTGTAGCTTAGATTTTTACAACACTTCACTTTTCAAGGTATAATCCCTCGGCATTATTTGGTTTTGCTTTTCTTCAGAAAGAATATCAAGCATGTAAAATCAACATAGATGGCAAGCCTTACATTTTAGAAAATCCAAATTTCATTATTTTCACCAATTAATTAGTTGGTTGATTTAATTGTTTCCGCTCTAATTAGAGCCTAACTCCATGTCTTACTTCAGACTTGAGTTATTTTTTGTTCTCTTGAGATGAGAAACTAACTGTAAATATGTATTCCTTATTTCCACAAAGATTTACTGAGCACTTATTATGTACTGAGCATTCATCTAGACTCTAAAGATTGCTAGACAAGATTCTTGCCTCTCAAGGAACTCATTCTCCTAAGGAAAAAAATCTTCTGTCCGTTGCAGAATTCTCTTTGTTCCTAATCAGAGGATGACTACTGAAATTGGTGAGCTGGTGAAGGACTTCTGAACCCTTCAGGGCCCAAGAGTAACTCTTAGTTCACTGACACCCTCCTTTATTAAGTGGTACCCCACTGCTGTCTAAGAGTTAGTGCATCTTCTCAAAGTATCCACCTTCCTTCCCTATTATTATGAGACCCTGACTTTTTACTCTAGATAAATATTCCAAATGAATGTGTAACTTGTCACTTCAGACTCTCTAATGGTAGTAAGTCAGCATTTATGAAGAACTTTGGGTTTATCATGACTGTGAGAAAAGTGTATTCTTCCCAAATATGTGGAGAATTAATTCTATGATATGGCCAGATGAAGATCTACAATCACTCTGTCTTTAAAATGAGAATAATGCTAGTACCATTCATTGGGTCATGGTCAGAATTAAGTTGAACAATCCATACAGGACTGTCAAAACAGTACCTGGCATATAGTAGGACTCAATAATACAGATAGTCCTCGCTTTGCATGGCTCTAATATACACAAATTTCAGTTACCATAGTTTAGTTAAGTAACACCAGTCCCCCCAAAACAAGGTTCAAATGTCAGTTGCCACAATATACTAACTTTGAATAATTGCATTAGGTACAGATCTCAATGTAAATTACAGACGCACATCATGATCAGTGACCAATCCTGTCACTCCTTTCAAATCTGTCACTGACTGATCACTGCATATCTGTTATTCAGTTCCGACACAGATAGCACTATCTGTATTTACAAAAAGAAATGGCCTGGCCAACAGAGATGAAAGTACAGCAAAGACATGAAATGCTGGAAGTGAAACTGGAAAGCATTTATGACGAAAAAGATGAAGATGTCCCAGAGGAAGTGATGCTGGCAAAAAACAAAAAACAAACAAAAACAAAACTTCACATCAAATGAACTCTCAGAGATGTTTCATGACATTGGAAGCGAAGGATAAAATGTTGGAAGCTGACCCACACTTAGGAGTATGACAGTTTGCCAAGGCATAGAAAAGGTTTGCTTGAACTGTGTCACAAGTTATATGACAAGAAGGCAGGCACTATTCAAACTGCTCTTAATAAGTTTTTTACAAAGAAATAAAGCATCTTAATTCTCAATGTTTCTAAAGTTTTAAAATGCAGTGTACTAAATACTATTCATTTTACTTTTTTTTTATTCCTCTACCCTATTCATTTTTAATGTTTTAACAAAAAAAAGGTCACAGCACAACCATAGGTTTTTTTTTCCATTGATTGTTATGATCACTTTGCCCGGTTTCAGTTTGTATGGTCATTTTTACAGTCTTACACTTCCATGCAAAGCAAGGACTTCCTGTTATTATTATTGTTGTTGTTGTTGTTGTTGTTATTATTATAAATTATTTTATCCAACAAATCAAGGGCTACAGTTTTCAAGAAATTGTTCTTTGCTTTTCAGTACTCGAGAATTAAAAACTTTGTCATTTCTCTCCTGTTTTCTAGATTATCTGAGTCCTGATTCTAGTCATGTCTTGTCGTAGGATTACTCTCAGAGCCTCTCAGTGCATCTTCTACAGAAGTCCAGCCTTTCAGCTCCTCAGTTTTCCTGTTCTTCAGCGTTCTCCCTGTTTCTTCACTCTTCTAATGTACATACGTCCCACGCTGACCTTTTCCCTTTCATTCTTCTTCCTGCTACTGTCCTATTCTCCCATATTCTCCCTGAAATCCTATCAGTTCTTTAATACATTGTCTTCCTTTCAAAATGACACCTGCCCTAGAACATATCCTTATGAGAAACTTCCATAAATTCATTGGTTTCTTATGTTTCATCTACATTTCTGTCAGTCATAAAAGACAGGTGTCTTTCTTGAATTTAAATTATTACAAGAAATTCTGCCACTCTCTTTGGCTTACTTCAGTTCATAGTTTCTTACAGAGATTCTAGGGACAATCACAGAGACCTCATACTTACGATGGCAATACCAAGGCACCAAAATCAATTAATTTGGAATCTCTTTAACAAAAAATAATTCTCACAGCTCCTGAAAGAGTTATATCCTGTAAACAGAAATTCTACTCTACTTCTCATTTACTTCTCTGAGCCCATGGCACATCCTGAATTACTGGTTTCATTGGTCATAAGCTGTCATTTCTATTAGGTGCATTTTTACCGTGCAGTGTAATAGAAAATTTTTTCATTAAACAAGTTGTGTTTCTCCTGCTTTAAAGTGTAAGCAGAGTCCACATTTGAATGCAGAAGACAGTGACTGTACCCTGACTAGCGTAATCAATGCAAGAAGATCCTTAAAGCTTTTCTTCTGTAACAAGGGCAAACTCAGCTAAAAAGTTTGTTTAAATCCTGCTTGGCATAACAAGAACCTTTAAACTTTATCTACTTGTGCCTATCTTTGAATATACCTGACTCATCACCATAATGCCGTTCAACTCAGCCCTGCTCAGCTCAACTGCTCTTCCTGCCTCATACAGATATTTTAAATTCTTTAAGGCTTCCAGCGAAGGCTGTAGAGTTTTTGGACTTAATATTATTTTACAGCACAGGAAGTTCATAGCTCCTGAATAACGCGGATCTGTAAAATAAAATGGGAAGATTTTTCTCTGTGTAGTCTCTGACTATGCAGTTATGTCATATTTGTGTCATGAGCTGTCATTTTTAAGCAACAATTATATCACAGCAGAGTCATTTTTACAATAACAAAAGAATAACAGTGAAATGAAGTAGCAACCAAAAAAAAGTCCTTCATAATCTTAATCTTAAATTAAGAAGATCAAGAAAATTCTGTGTTGGCAGCACACTACATTCTGGTTTTTCTCTATGTATTTTTTAAGAGTAAAAGCTTCTCGTATTACTGTTTTCACAAATAGCTGTCCTTTCGCCTTTGTTCTTTTCCTCTGTTATCTCCTATGCAGAACAGTGCCGTCAGCTATTTTATGAATTTATCTCCTAGACCAATAAGTGATTCTTTTCAATGACTACATCGATGTGATTAACTTCTTCCATGTTATTACACCTTTAACGTCGTGTCCTTTGCCTACACCTATCAGTTTTTCCTAACTGCCTAACTTACCTTCAGTGCCTCACTTTGTTCTAGTTTTTCTACTTAAAAATCCACCCAAAGGATTGGCTGTTTCAGCATTTCTGTGTATTTTGAGGTAGCTTCGGTGAACTAAATTGGTGTGATGTGTGTTGTTAACTCTCTCAAGGTGAGGCGGGAGGCGTCTTTCCTGACTGCCCGGCTGGCACGTTTCTCCCAGGTCCCTGACTTTCCTTCCTAGACCCAGAGACGGACTTCCCAGTGACTTTGCCTTTTGTCTTGCTCCTTGACTGATGTGGTTCTTGGGGACCTATACTTGCCCTTCTGGTGACAGTGCTTTTACACCCTGATGCCTGGTCAGTGCTCAGTTACCAGCATACCTGCAGAGTGGGAAAAACTATAAAATTAGCACCAGCTAGTCTGCTTTTGCCCTCTTTGTCTGACTTACACATTATTCTTAGCTCTCCTGGTCTGCTCTGTTGATTTAATTACATTCAAAAAGCATTTTTTTGAGCCTCTGCTATAGAAATGGAACTTCTCACATATTCTTGAACAAAACCCTGTCTGCTCTCCGGAGCATGAACAACAGCTTTGGGAAAGATGCATTTGGAGAGAGAAGGAAGCAAAGAACACCTTCCTAGTTAATGAGATAACTGATCAACAGGGTGATGTAAGTCAAAACCAGATTTCCTTCACATCCAGGTGTTTTTATGCACTTACCATCCTCAGAGCTCTGTGGATAGCTTCTATGTTATGACATTGTTCAGCACATAAGTACAAAATAAATGGAATCCGTGATATCCATTGGGGAGGTTCCATATCTCCTAGGTGGGAGCTAAGACATGTTTAAAGCAGCCAGTATATCTCAGTGGAAAGGCACCAAGTTCAGAGTGGAGTGAGATCACTGTGGTCCTGAATGTATGAGCAAAGTTTTTCAAAGAGATGAAGCATGAACTAAGACCTACATGGATGCTTATTATTAACTTTGCCTCCACTGTTTTCTGCTTCTTACCATTGGTGATCTTGGCAGATGGTCAGTTGGTTTTGCCATCTTAGAATAGAGGATACTTAAGAAGAGCTTACTAACACAAATCCTGCTTTGGGGATTTCTGCTTAAAACTTAACTTTCTCTTAATTCCAAAAATCCTAATAATAGAAAACTGTTAACTTCTCTTTGGGCAAGTGTAGCTGCCCTGCTCTCCAGACAGTTTCTCTTTGCCTCCATTTAGATTATAAATACATGGGGCCTGTGACCATGTGTTTCTTATCCTTACTTTATAATTCCCTGTGGATAAGACTGGCCTGATTCTTACATTGTAATCTAATCACTTACTAAGAGGTCTCTGTGTTTGTTGAAGGTGATGGATTAGCCTCTCAAGTGCCCCGGCCCAAACAGCGCTGGCTGTCTTGGGCATCCTGAGACCTGCCTCCCCTCATCTCTATTTCTGTTCTAGCGAAATATGCTCCTGCTTTTTTTCCCTGATCACCCCATTTCTTCAGCACATTAAATATACTTTTAAGCAGATGTCAAGACTTCTCTTAAGGATATGGGTTCTTATTCGTGACAGCACATATGCATAAACCAGGAGATAGGCACAGTGGCAATGAGATCTGAGCAAGTTCAGAGAAAACCTTAATTGAGAGTACCCAAGTTAACTTTAAAAGCCATCAAGTTGATATAGCCTTACTTTTAAATTTAGTAAATGTTTTTAGCTACTATGTTTTAACTCAGTTAATATAATGAAGCTTTCCTCAAATTAGATTGGATACACTTTTTTCAGTTCACTAAAACATTTTTATTCAACCACTGTTTTTTAATAATTAATGAACCATTTCTCTGTGGTTCTTTTGCAAATGGACTGGTTTCAATATGTGGGCCTTAATTTATATAGTTGTTCTCTTTTATTCCTCTTTGTGATCCCCTTTTCATTGTGTTTAGCAGACACTGGTTGCTTTGTAATTTTGAAAAAATAGCATGTACGTATACTTGGAAAAAATAAGTATCAGTGAAATTTTATATATTGCAAACTGTTTTTCATAGACTGTCTTCCTGAAACCTAAGCCAGGGCAAATACGGAAGTGTTGTCACCATCAGTGCTGCAGAGATGGATTTGTGTGACTTCCCACTCTGTGCCAGGTATAGTTGCAGGTGCTGAGAATCTAGTAATGACTCAGACAGACAAGGACCTTGATCTTCACCAGCATGCATTCTAGCCAGGATTGCAGTGGATACGCAGGCATAAAACAATCCAGTATACAGCCTGTAGAGATGGCAGTTGATTTCTTGATTCTTTTTCCCACTACCAGCGCTTTAAGGCTGCCTCAACAACCTCGTTACCTGGAGTGTTGAGTTGAATTTAGTCTCATAGTACTACTACCCCCATCTACATAAGGGCCTTGTTCTAGTATAGGAGAGAAAGGATGGAGACACACCTGGTAGGGTCAGGTTTCTCATTGTTAAACTGGAACTAACTGTGCCTTACTCCCAGAATGGTACAGGTGAGGATTCATTCACTCATTCAGCAAATGTTTACTGAGCAGCGTATCACTCAGGGTTCTGTTATGTTCCAGGCTTTGTAACACCTACATGCATGCCCTTACGTACCTGGTTAGAAAGACAGAAACATAAAATAAATTATTACTGATAAATGTTACAGGAAAAACATATATCAAGTACAAGGGGTGGACCACAGAAGCAGTAACTAACTCCACCTGGGGGAAGGCCTCACCATAAAGTGTCCTCTAAACTGCGACTTAAAGGTGACTGGAATTTCAGCACACTTCTTTATTCAGGAAATGTCTCCTGAGCCAAGCACAGTTGTTGGCACTGTAGACACAGCAGTGAACTAAACAAAGCACCTGCTCTCCTGGCAGTGGCAAAACAGACAATAAACAGATAAAAATTTTTATGTTAGGTGGTGATACCTGCTAATATCAAAAAATAAAGTAGGTTAATAAAAGGAACAGAGAGTGACAAGGGTGGTCAGGGAAGGCCTCTCTATTGAGATGACAGGAACAGAATCTGAATGATTTGAGAGGATGAGACCAACAAGCAGGGGAAGCCATTTCTGATAGAAGGAGCAACATGGAGAAAATTGTAATAGCCATGAAAAGCGTGGCATCTTTAGTGCAAAGTGAAGTATTGTCACGGAGCATGTGGTAAGATGGCTTGCAGGGTTTGGGAGAGTGTGGTAGATGAGGCTGGGAAAGGAAGAGAGAGGGGCCAGATGGCAAAAACCATGGTGTTCCCCACTCAGGAATTTGAATGCCCACCTTGTTGACTGGGGAAAAAGGGGCTAAGATTTTGAGAAGAAAAAAATTAAGAGGAAAAGGACATGGTTAGATTTTTGTTTCGTTTGGTTGAGTTAGGTGAGGTTTGGTTTGGTTTGGGGAAAATTACCTCTAGCAGATGTATGAAAATGAATTTGGAAGGAGAAGCAGAAGAAGCCAATGGTAAGGTTATTCTCATGCAAGTGAGAAATTATGGCCTAATTTAGAACAGTTAAGATGAGGCTGTAGAGGAAGTGGTAGAGCTCAGCTGGTTTAGGAGACCCACTATGTAAGATTTGATGCCCTCCGGAGTATGGGAAAGGTCAAGAACAATTCCTGGATTTCAGTTTGGGTGACTGAGTGGGTGATAATGCCGTTAACCAGCTCAGGGAGCCCCAGAGGAGAGGCAGGTTTAGAATTGCACATAATGAATTTGATTTGTGGCAATGGGAAATACAGACTGGAAATGTACAGAGAAGTCAGGGCTGAAATACTGATTTGGCTGTTACCAGCATTTCAAGGAAATTTAAAACAGGAGCAAAAAGAAAAGTCAGCATTATCAGATACTGCAGAGAAGTTTAATAGGATGAAGATTTTTAAAAGGCCACCAGATTGGACAACTGGAAGGTCACTGATGACTTCATCAAGACCAATTCCAGTAGATGTGGGTAGGGTAAATCTCACCAGGGTTGAGTTGGAGTGTGAAGAGTAAGAGGCTGGGATTGTCCAGCCAAGATCACCGTCTCCTCTTTTCCAAAGCTCCTCCTTGGAAGCTTTGAACCTGAAGTCTAATCTTCTCTTCTTCCTCCTTTCTTGACTTTCTCCACCCAGGGCCTAGGACTGGCTGCCTGAGCTAAGGACATGATGGGGGAACAAATACTCTAAGATCCTTGGGTCTCTGGTGGGACAGGAGCCAGGGGTAGGGAGCCTGATGTTGGAATCAAGTGTTGCAAGGAGCGTCCTCAATGAGGAACAGTAGGTTAGGCCCATCCAGAGACCTGTCTCCAGAGGGGAGAAAGATGAAACAGATATCGGTCTTTGTTTTATGTGGAAACTCTGAGCCAGGAAGCTGAAGTAGGATGGTGGGTAACAAAGGACTTGAAGGATTGGTGGGGGAAACAGAATTAATCAGAAAACTTGGCTCCAGTGAGAAAGTGGAATCTGGCAAGGTGTAGGGGTGAGGGTAGAATCTGACAGTAAACTGATGTTAACTAGAAATTCAGGTGGGGCGGCTTAGGTTTCCTAGGGCACAGGGACTGAAGATGTGCAGTGGAGTACTGTTGCCAGTACTTGTGACCGTAAAGATAGCAGTAAGGGGAGAGTTAATGAATTGAGGGGTGGCATAAAAATGCTGCTTGGCATTAAAAAAAACAACAAACAAGAAAAAACTGGCATAAAGATATTTAACAAATATCTATGAAGCCAAATGTGATCATTCAGATTATGTGGAGGATAGAGATTAGATACCACTGTTCTGAAGGGCTGAAAGTAAATGCCTGGGTTGCCTTCAGGGAGAGGATGGAGGCAGGGACTAAGAGATCCCAGACAGCTTGAAGGTACAAAGCCCAGAAGGGAGATTTACACCTTGGAGGGAGTTGGAAGCAAGGTTCAGGGTAGGAGACCTCCTCCCTTAACCCTGGGGACCCAAGGAGTTACCAGTAGGGTCCTACCAGATTTCCCCACCACCGCAGCTTTGGCGCGTTTCTCCCCCCTGCACCGCCATCTCCGCCCTCTGGGGGGCGGGGCTCGAGGGCGAGGCTGGTGGCTGTTCTGATGCCTCGAGAACAATCAGTTCCTACCAGACTCCCTGCCCGGGAGCGGTCTTACCCCATGGCCGGACACAGGCCCGCAAACTTACCCCTGCCAGGCGGTGGTGGGGGCGGGCCCAGAGGGCCCGTACCAGTGCGGGTTGACACTCAGATCTGGCTGAGAGCCCAGGAGGCCCCCGGCAGGCTGATGGCCCTGCCCAGGGTCGGGCCGAGAATCTATCCAGGCCCTGAGGTGTGGGGGTTGCCCCCAGTTCCCCCGGCGTACGAATTCCAGGGCGGGATGGTACGAGCCCATCCCGTACCTTGCGGGCCCCGGGTCGGAGCTGGCGAGGCGGGGACCTGGTTCCCAGACCCCTCCGAGGGCACCTTCCCCGGGCCCTGCATCGTCGTGCGGTGCATCCCAAGGCTGGCGCTGCCAGAGGATGTCTCAGCCGTGAAGAAAGAGGTGGAGCAGCTGGCCAAGGATCTGAGGCAGAAGAGGATGACCCTAGGGTACTCGCAGGCCGACGTGGGGTTCGCCTTGGGGGTTCTCTTTGGAAAGGTGCTTAGCCAGACGACCATCTGCCGCTTCGAATCCCAGCAGCTGAGCCTTGCCAACATGTGGAAGCTGCGACCGCTCCTGAAAATGTGGCTGGAGCAAGTGGACGCCGAGAACCTTCTGGGCTTATGCAAAATGAAGATGATCCTGCAGCAGGCTCGGAAGCAGAGACAAGCAAGCAGGGAGAGGCGCATCGGAAACAACCTGGAGAAACTCTTCCTGCAGTGCCCGAAGCCCACACCCCAGCAGATCTGCCACATCGCTGAGCAGCTCCGGCTGCAGAAGGACCTGGTCCGAGTTTGGTTCTATAACCGGAGCAAGATGGGCGGTTGGCCAAGCAATGATTTCTCCCCACTGGAGGAGGTGGAGGCAGCCGGGCCTCCTTTCCCAGGGGGACCGGTGTGCTTTCCCCTGACATCGGGATTCCATTTTGGTTCCCCCCACTATGCGGGACCCTACATTACACCTTTGTACTCCCCTGCCCCTTTCCCTGCAGGAGGAGCCATCCTCTCTGAGAGACCCCGGCCACCGCCCTGAACCTCCCCAGGCTTTCCAGCTGAAGGGCCTGCCTCTCTGGGGAGGGCCAAGCTGGGGAAACCGGTCCCTGGGGCTCATTTCAGGGCTTTTAGCGTTAAGTTCTCCATTCTCTGTCTAAAGAAGTTAAGCATACAGACGGAAGGGAGAGGGGAGTTGTTCAGGAAAATTTGGGGTTGGAAGTTGAAGTTTGTTGCTGCTTTGTGTTTTTCCCTTTGTTTCTCCTTAGCATTGGCTTTAAGGTACATTATAATACATAGATGGTTTTGGATATTTTGTTTCTGTTGTTTTTATTAATAGAAAATTAATTGTGTCTGTTATTCCTGTGATTATCTATAAACATAGGGGGTTTTTTTCTTACGAACACAGTACTGAGTGAAAAACTCAAGCCACAGAAGACTATTTCAGTATATCATTTCTGTCACAACCAAGCAGAACTTTGTGTAAACACAAGCAGAGTCTAGGATAATCATTGCCTCCAGGGGAAGGTTGGAGGATGGGGTAGGAAAAGAGTACACAGAGCCTACCCAGAGTCCCTGCTGAAACACAGAAATTTGCTTGTTCTCCCCAGTTTCTTGAAAGATGTGTTTTTTTCCTAATTCACTTTGTCATTTAGAGTACCCCAGCTTTAGTGGGTAGGGGTCTCACCTTATGCAGTTTCACAAGTTTATCTTCTGTCCCTCCAGTCACTGCGTTTTAAATCCCTTTGCTCCTGCGATTGGGAAACTACAGCAGTGGCTCAGCCCAGCTCCAGCTTACTTCTCTGGTTTTCAGCTCCGTTTGGTTTATTCCCTGGAAATTTCCCTTACTTTCTTTGAGCTCAGGTATGCTTTTCAGAGGATATTTGTGATAGTTGCTCCAACACTCCCTTGTGGCTTTTGCAGTGGTACATCTTAAGTCACTTTTCCAATCTCTTCTGTGAAATTGGTCTTTTCCAGTTTTCTCCTTCTTCATTGGTCAGTTTGGGTCGTAATATACTAACTAACTGGAACTCATTAATCCCTCTGTGTTTTCATATCTGCTGTCATGTAATATTTATGGTTTTTAATTCTGTCATCTATATTATATCTGCGTTTATGTATCCTTTTTGCTTACTAATCTTGTCAATTTTTTCTCTTTTTTCCTTAGTCTTAGACAAAGAATTTATCTTTGTAAGTATTTATCTTTGTAGATATTTTCAAAGAACAAGCTTTTTTTTATCTTTATCCTATTTCACTACTGTTTTTGTTAACTAATTAATTTTGGCTTTTATTTTTATTAATTGCTTTTGTCTAGTTTCTTCTGTTTTCTTCTAATGCATGTTTTTCCCTCTTGTCAGTGTCTGAAGATAGAGCACTGAAGATACATGTAGGTTAGTGAAAACAAGCCAGACTTTAGAGTTGCTCCGCTTTAAATTCAGTAAGTGACTAATGATTTACTCTTGGACTGTCCCACTGAAAGTCATACAGCACCAACCCCAGTCTCCCTTTAGACAACCCTTCTGAAAAGCCTTGGAAGGGAGATGTTGCTGCAGAGGGTCAGGCAGTGTTTAATGCCAGGATGAACAACTGTGATTGTGCTGCGAACATTCACCTCCTAAAAGCTGTGAAGAGTCTCGCCTCAGGCTGCTGCTTGAATTCTGCAGCTCCTGCAGATTTGGAGGAATCATAACTGGCTCTCCATCTCGAGGACCCAGTCTCTGCACCTGCACGGCTGCCCCTCTGCTTAGACGAGTACTGTTGTCTGTCACTCAGCAGCCTTCACATAATTTAAAATGAGATTGTTTTATAACTGGCCCTCTTGACTGTGAAAAGAGAAAAAAACCTTTATTTAAAGCGTTTCAGATTATTCAAAGATTTAAGATGAAGTGAGTAAAAAAGGTTAATTATTGGATCCCTCAAAACTGAAAGGGAACTACTTTTAGAGTTGGGAGAAAACCAAGAGTGTGATGTCAGTGGTGAACAGTGTCCAATATACAGAGATCAAATTTATTTTTGATTATTTTAAGTATTATTTAATATTTTGTTATTATAGTAATAAGACAGTTTATTATAATACATACATTATATAAAATCATAAAAGTAAAATTAATACTAAATGAAAACAATTATGTTAAATAAATATTACTATTTAACATAAGAAATTGAGTAAGATACATCACTTCACCAACAACAATATGGGTACCCTTAGTGAGAAAATTTCAGTGGAATAGTAAAGGCAGATAGCAAAAACTAGTGCAAAATCTTTATATTTGCAAGATTTCCCCCAACCTCAATTAAAAACATTAAAAATAAATTCCAAAAAGATTTTTAAAAAACCCGATAAGCATAAATTCCAACCACTGGCTCAATAGGGTCTTTGCCATCATTTTAAAAACATTTCTTTAGCAAATGTTTTCTTTATCTTTTATTTCCTTTACACAAGGCAAGTATTCTTTTTTCCTTTTGAAAAAACATTTGTAGAATTTAATAATTATGAAGCTTTAACAAACTAGAAATAGAAGGAAACTTTTAAAACCTGATAAATAATACCTACAAAAACCAACAGCAAACCTCATTCTTAATCGTGAAATATTAGATGTGTTCCTTTTATTTGTTTTTTTGGGGGGGGTTTAACTTTATGTATTTATTTTACAATGTCATATTTTTTTAATTGAAGTATAGTTGATGAACAATGTTATATGTTAAAGGTATACAATATAATGATTCACAATTTTTAAAGGTTATACTCCTTTACTCCAGTATTATAAAATATTGGCTATATTCCCCATGTTGTATAATACATCCTTGTAGCTTGTTTTATGCTTGATAATTGTATGTACCTCTTAATCCTCCGCTTCCATCTTGCCCCTCCCTCTTTCCTTTCTCCACTGGTAACCACTAGTT